CTTACTTTGAGTCAAAGGGATAGTTCAGAGTATCGTTCCTTGGAAAATGAGGAAGATAAGCATCAACACACACCAAAGGTGTGTATATTGAGATCTTTCCACTTAACTACCTACACATATATGAGTGTGTTGATAATATGATGAGGAACATACCAAAAAGTCCCTACAGTTTAAATAATATAAAATAAAATCACACATTTGAAAGTTCTCCATGGAGACTTTAAATATAAGAACCAGGTGTTCCTTCTTTCATCCTGAAGCAGTTTAGTGAATATCTACTGTGTGCCAGGCACCATGCTGGGACTGGAAACCCCACAATGAATAAAACAAAGTCCTCATTCTCACAGTTCAGCAGCAATGGAAAGAATCAGTTTGCCAGTGCTGATCTCCAGCCCTGTCCCAGAATCCGAGATTCTGAGTCTGACAAACAGGTCCTCCTCAGACTATGAGGAGGTGACTTCTGATATTAGACTAAAGGCAGTTTTTCATTTTTCCATAGACCAGATGAAATAACTCATAAGACCACCCTATCCCATGGTGTAACCACTCACCACAACCATCTGCTTTTAATGTGGCTCAAAGATATCTCCACATAGGGAAGAGAACCAAAGAGAAGGGTGAGAATATTCTTAAGCTAGAAGGTTGATCTTCACAGTGAATGGGTAAACCTATCCTGGCCTTACCTATTGGCCTCTTATTCATTTACACTCTGTTGTGACAAGACTAATTCAAGGTAAATCAGTGAAGTCTTGATTTTGAATTAACAAAGCAGAGGCCCAGATGTCAGGCAATGGTGACCAAGAGCCTCCATTTGGAAAACAGATGATGTCAGCTGACATCAACCCACTGATGCTCATCCCAACTTTTCCTGTCCATTCTTTGTTACCCTCGTGGGTTTGACATGGTCCGATGTTTAATAAGCTTTCACATACATACTTTATTTTAGGTTTCCAACAACCTTATGGGGATATACCAACCCCAATTTCGTGAGTTAGAAAATCAAGCCCCCAAACAAACTTGCTCAATTTCTCACAGCTGCTCCTACAATGACAGTATCAAACATAGATCCTCAGGCTCAAACCAACACTCTTTCCATTATCCTATAGCTACCTACTTTTACAATTTCACTTCTTTCTTTTTACATATTGTTTCAGTACATCCTGGTGGGGAACTGTCTTACCACCTGCAGGAATTTTGGGAGCAGTGACAGATTATGGACCAAGGGAGGCCCTTTTGTTCCCTGTCCTCTACCCAGCCTTAGTTAAGTAGATTTATTGCTACATTTTTTTCCCTCTTATCTCTTGCACTGGAATCCGGTATCTTCTATGGATGCATGCCAATTTTTAGAAATCAAGGGGACCACGTGGGTAGCACACACTGAAATTTTCTAGGTGTCTATTAATATTTTTGCAGAGTCTGCTCAGAGTTTTAAGTTGACTAATTTCAAGATAAATTACCTCCTAAGGAAGACATCCTTTCCCTGCTCTTCCCTTCAGTATTTCTCATACCCAATATGGACTTGTTTTTGGGTTCTGTTTCTTTTTAGGGTTTCTCCTTAGTACCCTGTACCGAAAACATAGGGATTTTAGTAACTAGTAGCAGCCAAAGCTGACTTATCTCTCAAGAAGGCTGAGAGAAAGTAGGTCCAAATCTCGACCTCTGCAAGGAGTGGTTGTGCTCCTAAGATCTTTATGCAGAAAGTGACAGCTGTTTTGAAGGGCTTGATAAATGCACATGGATGAATCTCAATGCTTTTTTAAATCTCCTGAGTTACTGATTTTATCAGAACAGACAGACTACTATTTTAGGGGTGGGGTATATATATGCACAAGCCAGAAACTGGGAGAAATGCTTTTCATCATATTGAAAGAGAAGGTAAATTAAAATGCACATATGCAAAATCTCTGCATTTGGGGGACATAAGTCTGCCATGTGTAAAAAAAAAACACACATCATCACCATTAAACAATATTTTTCTGCTTTACTAGGTCAATGGTGATAAAATACAAATGCAAACACTGAAAATAAATATGTTTTGGAATCCAGCATTAAATCAGAAGTGTCACTCCTAATACATTAAAATGAATTAATTAGCAAGACTATGTCAAAACTAAAACAAAAATATTAAGCAAAGCAATAACAATGTGTATAAAACTGAAACACCTTCAATTTCAAAATTAGTGACAACATTCTTTTTGAAGCAGTATCTTTCCAGTATAAGACACGGCATCTGATATAAAGATACTATTTATCATTAGCCATGCATTTTCAAATACATTCTTAACAATAAAATACACATATTATTCAGTATGTTCTGACCAGTCTTTTTTTTTTTTTAACTGATTCTTCAATCAAACAATCTAATATGAAGTAGAAACCACTGCCTCTTTCAACCAGATCAGGATAAAACAGACAGAACCAGTTTGCATTGGCTCTGCTGTGTCTGCCATAGTCACTGGTAGCCTGGGAGTGTTCTCACCAGTCTATAGTCTTTCTGCAAATAGAATCTTATCTCCAAAGGGGTTATAAAATCAATTGTAGGCAAAATGAAATCCCAGAGACTGGACCTGCCATCTCCCCTCTCCCCTTTTAATAGGACACATTAGCCTTATTGGAAAAAAACAATTCTATTTATAGATTAACAGGTTCTTAGTCTAGGGTCAGACACTCTTTAATCATATGTGATATTAGGAATGAGGAGGACCTGCTGAATTGCAAGCCAAGAGGATGACCTAGTAAACATGAAAAACCACCCTAGAGCCTCTGCCCTGTGGCCATCCTTTCATAGCAGCAGCACAACTCCCCCTATTCAACACCCCAGTCCCTCCTAGTCACCTAACACTAAGCATATCGTTCTCCTATTGCTCTTATCACTTCCTGCAAGTGCCTGGTTCTTAAAGCAGCAGTAGTAGAAAACCTAACATTTTGTAAGAATTTTAGGAAACGCACAAGGATGGCACATGGGACTGGGCTACCCCTTTGCTGGATATATGAACTCTTGTTCATAATTACTAAGCCCCAAACCCATGGAAACAAGTGAGCTATCTTCCCACTCACATAAACACAAAGCAAATATTAATAGACACTACTTTTTAGTTCCCTGACACATAACAGCTTTAAACAATGTCAAAACAGTCATTGAATAAGGGCACATATTTCTTTCTCTTGATCAGATGTCTGTGTATAGAACTGGGAATTCAATATTAAAGGGTCTATTTTTGTTTAAATTGTACTGCACTTCTCAGATCTCTCATAAAGACACACATGCAATTTTTGAATATTCCAAATTGTAAAACTTGTGAGAACGCATTTGCTTTACCAAAGGCTACAGCAAATCACTAAAAGCTACTGCCCCTCTCACTACCGGAGACATCACCTTGCATTGTTAAGCAAGAGGCTATTCTCAGGGGCCTGAGCCTTGAGGTAGTCCTGGGCCCTATACCACTCCTGTCTCCAGTGGCTCAGAGCCAGAACTCACACCTGGCCACACCCACTGGCTCTGTGGGAACCTCTGAGGAGCAAAGGGGGTCAATCTCTTGCAAGCTTAGAGGATTTGAGAAAAAAAGGGCTATTATTGAAAATGCAGAGTCCACCACTTGGTTCTTTGCACAAGTACCCATGTGAGGAAGATAGAATAATGTCAAGGAGGTAAGTGAAAGGCCCCTGGCTTAGACTCTGGGCCCATAGGCTCTCCTAGGCATGCCTGACGTAGTCACCAGCAGGCAGTACTGCTTAAGCAGGGCAATGTCAGGCACAGCAGGAGACACTGGAAGTCATGCTTTGACACTTGCATGAAGGAGGTGATGTAAGTGCAGTTTTCAAGTTCACAATCCTGGGATTTTTTTTTTTTATGCAAAATTGCTTCAGGTGGAAGCATAAATATGACTTTGTAACACTGGGTTATGTGCTTTTCTTAATCACATTGATCTCATCCCTTTGATATACCCCCCAACAGTATACTTCACTCAGGGTAGATACACAGAAATTCTGAAAAGTAACTTAAGCATTCACATACCTTCTGCATGGTCTCAAATATCCCCATCCTCCAGCAGCAAAGGCCCCAGGACACCACGAGGAAGTGGAAATCAGTTACCTCACAGAAGAAACAGCCCTAAAAGACACAATTTAAATCAGCATTAGTAGACAATGCAATTTCAGGCTGGACATGTCCTAGTTCTGACTCTTGAAGTGGGTAGCAGTGGGGTTTGAGAGTGTCCCTTCATTTCTCTGGGCCTTGGTACCTTCATCTTAAATAGGGATAATGGACAGACAAGTCTCAGGTTTCTCCCACACCCAGCTATGTTTCTGTAGCTAAAGACTTTCACACTGGAGCCCCGGTTGACACAAGCTTGGGGTCACACTCCAGACGGCCAGTGCTTTGCACATTAGTGACTGGCTTCACAAGGGGAAACATCAGTGATATTTTGAACAGCTCTAGAATAAATGAGGGTCAGTATTAAACAAACACGACTCTCCATAAGTTTGTACTGACATCTAGCCAAAACCATAAAGAGAAAATTACTTTGACATATATATATACACAATGGAATATTATTCAGCAATCCAAAGAGATAAACCCATGCCATTCGCAGCAATGTGGATGGAGCTAGAAGGAATTAAGCTCAGTGAAATAAGCCAGAAGGAAAAAGAAAAATATCGGATGGTTTCACTTATAGCAGGAATATAGGGAAACCAAGTAAGACATCAGTGTAAAAAGTAATAACAGTACAAAACACAACAAAGCAAAAACGGGCAATTATAAAGCAGAGACATCCTGCAGGGGAGGAGGCGGGAGAGGGATCAGGGTGCCTTGGGGAAGGACACTCCATGGGGACTACACCTGAGGGGGTGGGGTCAAGCAAATACTGTTTAAAAACGAACAATGATGTAATTTTTTTTTAATTGAAAAAAAGATGGAAAAAAAGAGAAAAAATTAAAGCTTATGTTTTGATTGTCAAAAAATATAAAAAAATAAAAAAAAAGTTTCTTTCTTTTTAAAGGAAAGTTGAAAAGGATGCAGAAGGAAATGAAGATGATCAAAGACGAGGACGTGCATTTCAATCTGGGCGTGAAGAGAGGCCCCTCCTTTCCCCACTGCCTGCAGCCCGTGGCCTCCCGCGCGAAGGCGCCTCAGAGACACCCGTTCCCGGAGGCTCTGCGCGGGCCCTTCTCCCAGTTCCGGTATGAGCCTCCCCCGGGGGACCTCGACGGGGCCTTCGAAGGAGGCGGGTCCCGCAAACGCAAGAGCATGCCCACCAAGATGCCCTCCCACCACCCCGCGGAGGAGGCCGCCGGGGGCCTCCACGCCGACGAGGGCAAAAGCCACGGCCCGCGCGGCCTCCCCTTGCTGTTCCCGCAGCCTCCGCGCCCCAAGTACGACTCGCAGATGATCGACCTGTGCAACATGGGCTTCCAGTTCTACCGCACCCGCGAACACGCGGGGGGCAAAGCCGTCAAGCAGGAGCCCGTGAAGCCCAGCGCCGTGTGGCCCCAGCCCACACCCCCGCCCTTCCTGCCGGCGCCCTACCCCTACTACCCCAAAGTCCCCCCGGGCCTCATGTTCCCCTTCTTCGTGCCCGCGTCCTCGCCGTTCCCCTTCAGCCGGCACGCCTTCCTGCCCAAGCAGCCCCCCGAGCCGCTGCTGCCGCGCAAAGCCGAGCCCCGCGAGCGCGAGGAGACCAAGCAGAAGGTGGAGCGCGTGGACGTGAACGTGCAGATCGACGATAGCTACTACGTGGACGTGGGCGGGGCGCAGAAGCGCTGGCAGTGCCCCACCTGCGACAAGTCCTACACCTCCAAGTACAACCTGGTCACCCACATCCTGGGCCACAGCGGCATCAAGCCGCACGCCTGCACCCGCTGCGGGAAGCTCTTCAAGCAGCTCAGCCACCTGCACACCCACATGCTCACCCACCAGGGCACGCGGCCCCACAAATGCCAGGTGTGCCACAAGGCCTTCACCCAGACCAGCCACCTGAAGCGCCACATGATGCAGCACAGCGAGGTGAAGCCACACAACTGCCGTGTGTGCGGCCGGGGCTTCGCCTACCCGAGCGAGCTCAAGGCCCACGAGGCCAAGCACGCCAGCGGGCGGGAGAACATCTGTGTGGAGTGCGGTCTCGACTTCCCCACCCTGGCCCAGCTGAAGAGGCACCTCACCACGCACCGGGGCCCCATCCAGTACAACTGCTCCGAGTGTGACAAGACCTTCCAGTACCCGAGCCAGCTGCAGAACCACATGATGAAGCACAAAGACATCCGGCCCTACATCTGCTCCGAGTGTGGCATGGAGTTCGTGCAGCCCCACCACCTCAAGCAGCACTCCCTCACCCACAAGGTACCAGGGCGGGGCTGGCAGGACCTTTGGGCAAAAGAGCCTTGGGGGCCAGGAGCCAGGAGCCTGGTCCAGGAGACCAGAGCTGCTCCCCACCTTTGACCCCAGGAGCAGTGCAAGCCTGGGCTTGCCTTACCTCAACCCAGACATCCTTTCTCACCTTGAGGTGGAGGAAGATGTGGAGACTTGCAGTCAAGAGCTTTCCCACCTAGCCTTCTTGAGGCCGAGGGTGGCCTAGGAATAAATGATGCTGGTAGTCTGGAGAGGAGAGGAAAGGAAAGATGAAGGAAACAGCTGGCTGTGCAGATGCCCCAAAGAATCCCTAAACTTTGGCTTCTGGAAACTAGGTACTAGCATGAATGTGTCAACAGACCCTAGCTATTCAAGACCAGCTCTGTGGCTGGGGACACACTAGTTAAAACATTCTGGAGGATTGTAGAGAGTTCTCTTGGTCTTTGCTGATGAAGTGGTTACGACCTTTGGGGTTTTGTTTGTTTTTTTCTTCCTCCACTATGAAACCTGCTTCTTATGCAATTGGCTCTAGGGGAGAAGAGGCTGGCCTGGACCAGCAGGGTCTATGCTTCCCCCAGTGGAGCACCTGTCTAATTAGGTGTAGTGACCTGTGCTTTGTTCCTGTAGGAAGCATTGGAGAGCATCTTTCTCTGCTTGGGTTTGGTTTTCTCTTCTCTAGGTTAGGTTTTCAAGGAGAAATATAGGCCCATGGGTCTCAGTTCAGCCTAGTTTGCAACCAGAGCACAGAAGCCATTCAGGATGATCTAAAAAAGGGCCTCAGTGGTATCCCTGAAATCTTACCCCAGTTCTGCTGACTTGGGTCTGCTTTGAACTTCTGTGAGGAGAGGTTTGCCCCACTGACCTCTGCATTCACACCCATGACCACAAATGGTTTTCTTGGCAGAGAGGCTTCTAGCAGACCAGAATTTCTAAAACATTCTTTAATTCTGAAAGGTCAGGGGAGGCCTTTGCCCAGTCAAGATAACATTTCTGCTCTGCCGCAATGGATTTCATTTGTTAGGTTAGAACAAAACACAGGGAATTTTCTGGCTCTGCTGCAGAGGTGAAATGTGTGGTTGCCTTGTGGGCACAGCACAAACAGCTCCTGCCCTCAAATGGCACCTGTAGATACTATCCAAGTGTAAGAACCTTCAAGAACCTAGACTAAGTCAACCACAACTGGCTTCAGGGGCTCCTATGTGTTTGGAGAAGGAATCAGATGTACATTTGGGAACATATAAAAATTCTGTATGAGAGTAGAATATGAAGTCAAAGTAAGAAAACAGCCTGGTGTCTGATTTGAATTAGGAATGTGAATTTGGAAATTAGGAAACTAAATGTATTTTAATTAAAGGCATCAGCAAATCATGAGAAGTGTTACTTATTGATAATTTCTTTGTGCTAGGTGCTTCTCATTTAATGCTCTTCAACTATGGTAAAATACCTATGGGTATCAATCCCGATTTGCAGATAAGACCCTGAGAACATGAGAAGGTCACTCAGAAATCTCTGACTCCAGCACCTGAGCTATTGAACACCACTGTTCGCACTTCCCCTTTCTCACCCTCTTCCCTCTGCTCGCCCCTAATAATCCTTCTGTGGATTCCTTCTGGAATCATCCTTCTAGTAAGTTGTTGACAGAGACCCAAACTTACCCTTTAGTGCCCTGGGAGCACTAAAACTGTCCCAGTTAAAGAAGTAGAAATAGAAGCAAAAAGAGTCAGGACTGGGCTTGGAACCCCTCCCTCCTTAATCAACTATGTATACCAGTACTATGATTTCTCTGATCCTGTTAGCATCACAGCAGCTTCCTTTGCTCCCCAAAGTTGCATCCACTCAATTGAGTTCTAGCCCACATGTGAATTTTACTTTGGACAGAGAATTCTCTTTAGAGAATTCCAAAAGCAGTGATAAATGGTTGCTTCTCCTTGGTTCCAGGACAGCTGGATCACATAGCCAGATACAGAGACAATTTTGAGAAGAAAGACGCCAAAGTAATTTTAAAATCCATCGAGAAAATAGTTCCCATTAATTTCATAATTTAAACTCACTGTTTGAATATGCAATACATTTTAAAAATTCATCTTCTGAGGAGGGCATTAAAATTTCGAGTTCTTCATTAGCATAAATCCATACTCATCTGCAATCATCTAGAGAGTATTCCAGCTGGAAACCATCCCAGGTTCTTATGACCCGCCACTTCATCTTGAGATGAGGGAGCCGTCATCGGGAAAGGCCACAAAACTTATCTAAGGTCACACAGCCAGTAAGTTGTTGACAGAGCCTGGAACACACCCTTTAGTGCCCTGGGATTGCACTTTCTACCATGTCCCAAATGAACGAAGTGGAAATATAGGCAAAGAAAGTCGGAGCTGAGCTTGGAACCCCTCCCTCCTTAATCAACGGAGGATACCAAGCACTGTGGGTTTCATAAGGTACAGTTGTTCACTAACAGCTTGTTATAACCTGTAATAACCTCACTTTTAAAGCCGTGGTTCTCTAAGTCTTCCATCTAATAAGTCATCCTGGGTGAAGATATCTTGCAAAGGCCTTTTTAGGGCAGCTCTAGTTTGGATAATGCTCTACTCATGCTGAGTCCCTAGATACACTTTCAATTGAGGGCATGGATGCTTAAGTATTCAAAAACTTCTCCACAAACAGCAAGGAAACTAGAAATTCTACTTCTGTGCTATTTTCTAATCCACAAAGTTATCCTCAGTCAAATTTCTCTATAGAACAGAAGCCAACTTATAGAAGATGCCACAGCCAAATCATGCAGAGGTCACTATGGCCTGTGGGAACCCAGGGGATCCTCTCAGAAGTGATTATCAAGCTGTAATTTATTGAAGTGTGGATGTGAGTTGTTCTGAGATTTGCAAGTCCATTAATGAGAACTCAAGAGAATGTTGGTTTTCATATGGGAAATGATAATATCACTTTAGGAGGTTTTAGTTTTTCATTATCATGAAAGCCGGATTATAGACTTATTCCATGTATCATTCCATTTGCTCTTCCCCAAATCCTATTAATCCCTGAGAATTGTTACTGTAGAATTAACCCCCGCAGCAGCAAGAACAACAAAAGCAGTAGCTTCCTTTTCTACCAATGGTCTGGATAGTTAGTGGTTTTCAGTAGAAAAAAAATAATACAATCAAAACTTTTCAAGAAAATAGTAACTTAACGAGGCTAATACCACATCATTTGGAACTCAGTGTGTGTCACCAAATGCTTTGTGGATTTTTGTGACAGAAATGAAAACTGCATTCTGATGAAAGCATGTTACTTGCTAATGATTTTTTTTTAACCTTTCCTCCCTACAGGGGGTGAAGGAGCACAAATGTGGGATTTGTGGGCGGGAGTTCACCCTGTTGGCCAACATGAAGAGGCACGTGCTGATCCACACCAACATCCGCGCCTACCAGTGTCACCTCTGCTACAAGAGTTTTGTGCAGAAACAGACCCTCAAGGCACACATGATCGTCCATTCTGACGTGAAGCCTTTCAAATGCAAGGTGGGCAGTGCACCTGGGAAGGGGCAGATCAAGGGTTGTGCAAATGGCAGACAGGGAGGCGTCTCCAAGGAACCTTCTACTCCATTTCAGCCTGGGGCTTCTCAGGCTCAGAGCAGGTCCTCAGTCCAGCTGCTGGCTCTGCCCCCCTTCCCATCCCGCCTCAGCAGTCTATTTGTCTCACCATGGAATCAGGGCCTAGGCACTAGAGACCGCCAACAGGAGAAGGTCTGGAGGTGGAAAGCTATTTGGATAATGAGGTGGTTAAAGGGTGAAGGTGATGTGGAGTCATCGTTCTAGAAAAGCGAGATGAGGTGTAGTAGCCTTTCCCTCATTCCAGTTAATTAGTAGAAGCAGCTCCTAGCACTGACCCCTCCTCCTTATCTCTTGCCTCCTGCCCTTCTGACTTTGGGCTGAGCTGTGTGATTTGAGGTTGGGTCTCTCAGAGATAGTGAAAGAGATGCTGAGGCCAACCACTCAGATGACCTCCAAGTTGCTTATTGGGCTGAGGAATAGTGTCCAAGTGACTGAGAAACAGTCACCCAGGGGTTTCCATTAATTCCTGAGGACCCTGGAGCATGGGGATTGAGGATCTCCATTAAGACCTGTTTAGATTAATTTGGCTGGATTTTTATTTCATTAGATGAAACGATGTATGAGCTGGCGATCTATAAAGCCCAAGGCACTGACTGGGATTACTCAGCAATGCCTGGGCTTTTCAAGACTGTCCCCACTCTCCCCTCCAGCATGTTTTCCTTCTCCATTTCTAAAATGAGGAGGAATCATGCTCAGGATTGGGTGGTTTAATCAAGGAATGTACCAGCGAGTGTCACCCCAGACATGAAGAGAGGGCCGAGGGGGAAGAAGAGAAAAATCACCATATATAAGCTCTATTAGAGCCTTTTGTTTGAAATATAAGTTTTCTTCTATCTGTCACTGCATGTTTGATGGGGTCCAAATAAAATTTCCACTGATTTCTACTTCTAAATTAGGGTTCCCTGCTTCCAGGGGCTGTTCCTGCTTTAATCTCCCTGCAGCATGCTCCCCACTTGAAGGAACCCCCTGTGAAGCTGACTTCTTTCCTGTGTTGGCCACTCCGGGATGGGGTGACAGGGGTCAGGAACCAGAGCTTTCCTAGACCTGTGTGGGCATCTCCGGAGGTGGGGGAGGGAGGGTTCTCCCTGCAGCCCTTTTCCTGCCACCTACTTGTGTTTCCCCTCCTTTTCTTCAGTTCCCAGTAGTTTGAAAGTCAGTTTATGTCCACCTTAAATCTTCCAAGCTGAAGGGGAGGAAGCTGCATGCAGCATGGGCTGCATAACTCACAGAACCCAGGGCAAATGAAAATGTGGGGCTCTTTCTTCAAACATTATGCATTTCAAGTTGGTAAAAGCAGAGGATTAAGCCCATATTCAGGGCCCTTCTGAGTAAGGGGCCTTGGACACATAGACCACCTCTTCTCTTGCTCTTTAGGCAGTTTCTTGAGTTCCGTCCAACTGCACAGAACCCCCTAAGTCCTTCACATTTAGCAGAGCTGTCCAGCATAGTATATAGTCCCCTAAAAATCTATCCCTGTGCAGTCTCACCATCTCCCTCCCACCTCTGCTTTGTCAATTCATGGTTAGGAGCAGTAAACCAGGCAGAAAAGGTCCCTGAAATGGAAAGATATGTCAAGGGGCATAGCCAGTACAGGAAATGGCTGAGAGAAGCAGTCTGCTTCCCTACCCTCAAGGGCCTCAGAGGGGTTCTTGAGGGCATCTGGAAGAACCTGGTATCTGAGGATTCGAAGGTTCTCTCTGGTATTATGCACAGGAGATGGCACAGTGCAGTGCCACTGGGCCCAGTGGTGCAGAATCAGCTCTTTGGGTGTTTTAGGTCCCCTTCATGAGTGACTGTTTCTCCTCTCCCTCCTGGTGGTCAACTTTACCCTTCAGAAACAACTTTATGTTGTTTTCTTGAGGTTGGATTAGACTCTGGATGCCTCGTCATACTGTTGGATCCCATAAGATGCTGAAAGGAATCCAGCTTTGGTGGGAGGCATGGTTTACATGCTCCGATGAGAGATGAGCCTGCTGCAGGAATTGGAGAGCTGGTATTCTGCACTGGTAACCCCTTCTGATGGGCAGGTCTTCTCAGGAGACCACAGAGGCTACTTAGGAGAGAGAGTGCATCCGTCATTAGAACAAGAAGAATTGGATGTTCTGCGTGGATGCCAAACTTAAGTGGCCCTTCTCCACTTCTAGACACTGAAGCAAGAACACATGTCAGGTGTACTGCCAGATTCTCCTCCTCCTCGTCCCCATCTCTCTGCAGAGTGCCACCCTGCATGGTGTCATCCTCTCTTCCTTCTTCATTTCAAAAGCACTTCAGAGTGTGTCTGAGTTTACAGATCATGTAACAAGGCTCTAGGTGTTTGCAAACTAGCTCTAGATTTCAGTGTGGGATGGACAATCTAGAGGTGGTGTCCTGTGGGTCTTGCTTCCCATCCACGTTGTGCCAGGTTCTTGGAAATCTCACCCTGGGTACAGGTGGCTGGGGATCTGAGACTTGGGGGAGGAACCGAGGGCCACTTTCTCACCACTCTGCAGTTCATAGCCAGAATGACTGGCTGGCTGCATAGCGATGTCAGAGAGCAGGCCGGACAGCTAAGCCTGGTAACAGAGAACAGTTACTCCCTCTACATGATTGATGTGACTGCAAGAAAGAGGCAGGCCTTGTTCCTGCCTCATTCTAAGAGTTAATTCTGTCTCCTTTCCCCAAAAACATGCCAAGAAGGGAAATTCTCATAGTAACAGGGTATCATTTCGTAGGATTCTTCCCACCAAGAATCCTTCCTGACATAAATCCCTCCCCCAGTCACAACACGAAATGGTTCTCTCAGAGCCCTGCTCAGTGAAAACAGCTGTCCACACCAAGCAGACGCATTTTCTCACTGTGGGATTATGCGTTAACAATAGGATGGAAAAACAGAGTGGAGGAAAGGTTTCCATTCTGTTTCTTTTTTCTTATAAAAATATTACTGCCCTTCTGGGCTCTTTTGCCATTGGCTCAACTTCTGGACTCCTTGCTTCTTGAAGCCAGCTGAGGTTTCTTCAGAGACTTGTGCCTGTAGACTTAAGCTGTGTTTTAGAAACATGCTTCCCAGAGTCTGTGTAAGCACGCAGAGGTTGATTTGGATGCTATCCTTATGGCAGCCACACTCTATAATAGCAAAGAACCAGCTGCCGTCTTTGGGAAACCTGTCAGGAAAAGCAGCCATCCAGAATTTCCGGGACAAATTCTCCTTTGAGATGGGTGAAACCCAGAGCTGCCTAAGTTATGAATCACCAGGTCATCTGCAGCCTGGTCTGAGGCAGAGGCCTGAAGGCGGAGGGAAGAGCTATTAGGACAGGATGAGGTCTCTCTGCAAAGGGTCCCTGCCAACTCCACTAAATTGGCTCTGTTTCCCCCTCCTGCTCTTAGATGCTCCAATAGGGGAGACACCAGGTGGGGGTCTTTAGGGACCTGGAGCTTGGGATCAGGGTTCTCGGCCTGGCATTGAGGGAGTTAAGGCAGTGACCAGATAGCAGCCTTTTGGCAGCAAAGCCCTCCTCAGCAGAAGGAAGGATATAGCTGTATGAACTGCCTGCTTAACAATGCCTCACATGTCCCCAGAGGCCCGCCTGCAAATAGATTTCATCTTGCTTTCTCTTGTACTTTTCAAAGCTTCCTGTTTTCTCACGGTCCTTTTGGACAGTTTACAGTCTCTCTCTCCCTCCCTCCCTCTCTCTCCCTTTGAGGAAAGGAACACCCTTCTTATTAAAAGAGAGACAGAGAGAGAAGAATGTAAGGGAAGGGCAGTTTAGCAGAGGCCATTCTCCTCAGCTGCAGGTCGCAGCTCTTTGACCTTTTCTCTCAGAATAGGAAAACACAGACTTCCTGGTGCATCTTTGTCCTCACGCTCAGATCAGGCTGGTTGGCTCGATGTAGCGTGCCTCTTCTTGGCTCCGTGGGGCTCCGGCCAGGCCCAGTGGCTGCTGACTGCCATGGCCCTGTATGCATGCAGTTGACTTCTCAGTGGCCCTGGCTGTCAGCATTATTGCTGGAGCTTGGGGAAGTTGCCTGAGGCACCTCCAGGCCCTGGACTGGGAAGGGCAGGGGCACCAGAAGGACAGATTTAGAACTCCTTTGAGGATGAGGGAACAAGGAAGCCTGGAGCAAACAGGGCTTCTGCTAACTGTTTACAGTGTTCACTGAGAATTGGAAAGTTAGGCTGGGCTCACCCAAAGTCTGCAATCTAGGATGGATCTCTTCTCATCCATATATTTCCCAGTGCTGCATCAAGCACAACTCTTCCCATTGTTATTCCTCAAGTAACCTGGCAGGTGTCCTTACTTAATCCTTCCTTTAATATTCCTTCCAAATAATTTGGTTTGAAAACACAGGATCGTCATCCTCAAAGATCTGTCCATTTCTGGAATGTACAATAATCTATTATGTACATAATAATGATAGTAATAAGAGTTAATATTTATTGAGCTCTTACTGTTTGCCAAGCCCTTACTGAATTATCTCATTCAACCCTTACAACAGCCTTCATGAGAAGCTATGAATATCATCAACATTTTACTGAAGAGAAAACAGCAAGTTCTCTGTCCCTCTGAGGTTTCACCGTCGTCGCCTTTCTGCTCTGCTATCTTGAAGCCTAATTATCTGTGCAGACTATTTTTAAAGAACAGTTCAAAACATTTGTTCCAATTTTCTATTAAATGTTGAGGTTCACCTCTCTCTCTTTAAAAGTATAGGTATAAAAGTGGGTGTAGCTGGAAAAGTGAAATTCAGGATTAGGCACACTGACACTGCTCATTAGGGCAACTGAGCACTCAGGAGGAAAACAGACTGGTGCAGCTGGCCACCTGCAAGATGCAGTCTGAGTCCTCACCACTCCGGTAGCTTCCTCTGCCTGTTTTAGTCTGCAGACCTTGGCAGGAGATGATTCAGTAAGCCTTACTTGGACTAGCTCTTAGCTTCATATCTCATGATTAAAGGGGGCCTTTTAGATGACTGTTTTTCCCTAGAGAAGAAACTTAAGAGTTTGAATGCTCCTTCCCAACTTTTTTTCTTCCTTCTAGTTGTAATTTCCCTCCTTTACTACATGTCTGCGTGGAGTCACCTTTCAAGCCCCTGTCAAGGGCGCCATCTTTAATTTACCCTCCTTCTCTGGTCTGTCTTCACTAGGAGTGACTGAAAAACTCTGAATTTCACAGAAACAAAATGTACCATACATTTGTTTATTGTCTTATGAAAAAGATGAAGAGGCCAAGTGTTCTGAATTAGGAACAAAGGACTTTGTAGAGAGGTCAGAGAGGAAGAAATCATAGATAGCTACCATGAGGATATGAATGGTATCCAAGTCCCTTGGGTCCTGAGTTAATTGTCTCCATCCTTCTGTGACTGAGGATTTTTGCTTGCAAACTAGCAAGCAAACTAGTTTAGTGTGGGAAAGGAGTAACGTTGGTGATGGTTGCATTTTGGAATTTTGCATGAAGAGTAACATATTCCTGATTTGTCTGTTTAGTCCCTCAACCAAGTACCTAGATAGTCATTAAATGTTACTAAGTATGTAGCCCTGTGCTTAATACTAAGATTGACCACAAAGAAAAGGAAGGCAGACTTTGCATTTCTGAAGACTACCTGGGGTATACTTTACTGTCCTAAACATCTTTCAAAGCTAACATACTGTCTCTCTGCGCTGAGAAACATACCATCCATTGCCTGGCCCATTAGGCCACTATGAACCATGAAGGATAACCCTGGTATATAAAAATCAAAATTTACCAACAGCAGGAAAATCATTCTCCTTTACCAGCCACAGGTCAGATTATATAGCTGACCTGTCATGTCCCACAGTGGACTTCCCCTGAGTCCTTGACATCAAGGGACAATAATATTTTAATATCTTAATGTCCTTATGTAGTATTAAAATGTCCTAGGAAGCTCAGTAGTGGGTGAATTGAATCAGAAAAACTTTAGAGTAGAAAAACACATACTGAGCTATGAACAGGATCATGTAAGGGTGATACAGCTTAATAAATTTTGTCTACTGAGAATAGAAGAACACGAGGGTCCATCCCACATGAACTCCTGAGGAAGTTGAAGTAAGGCCACTGTCTCAGACTTTCACCTGATGGGTCATCTTTTCCAAATCAATGTGGCATGCAGGTGCTCTGAATACAGATGAGTGTGGGACACCAGTGTGTCAAATTCATTCTTGCTAGTAAAGAAGTAAAAAGGGCAAAGTACTTGAAACCCCCAAATATGAATCACTGAAAAATACAGAGGCAACCATTCCTCACCCATGTGTGGGCTGCCTGCGCCAGATTTGTAATCCAGGTTGACTTTCTCTTGCCCCCAGCATTCCTTTAGGCTAATCTTCCAAAGTCACCATTTGTTAGGTTTAGTCATTCTTTCAAGCCAGTTCAGTTCTCACCTCCATAGCCACCTTGATTAATAAAATAATTAATAATTTATTAAAAAATTCAACTCAGAATTCTCACTATTGACCCTGAAAATATCTGTCAGAGAAAAAGGAAAACTGGCATCAAGTCTCGGCAGACCCTGTGCCTAAAATCCCTCTCCATGACACATCTCATTCATCCCAGAACATGGACCTCCAAGGCTGGGGAGGGAAGGAGAATGTTCCTGTCTTATCAATGTGGCCCAAGGGCAGATGCAAAATCCTCCTCTGCATTCTGCACAGTGCACCCAGGGATGTCCAGAGCTTTGCGAGGGCTTGGGGATGAGAAAAGGAAGAAAAGTGCCCCAGTCAGTTGCTTCTGATTACACGTTAGCATCTGCACACATTGCCTTTAAAGAGGCAATTCAGCAGTGTGTGGTGCATCCATTCTTTGTATTTTGACAGGAATATAGAAAGATGAAATAGAAAGAAATGATTGTGTTTATTCCTTGTAAATATGTTTACTGAGATAATATTTCAGTACTTCACTTCAGTACTTCATCTCCCAGAGAAAACAAACAGTCCTGCCTTTATATATCTCTGTGTTCCCTTTACCTTTGAAGTCCACTCCAATAATTAGCAAATTAAAAAATTAGGAAAATGTTGACTGATGCAGTCTAAAAGAAGAGTTATGTTGGGACTGCAAAGTAGGGATGGTGGTCTCTGGTGGCCAATGACTGCGTCTATTATCCCAGCTCCAACACCTACTAGCTATATACCTTGATGAGTGCCTTCACCTGAGCCTCAGTTTATCCTTCTCAAAAATGCGGAGAGGGTGATGACAATATCCATCTCCTAGGATTGATGTGACAATTAAATGAGATATTCCAAGGCCTACTTTAGACAATGCCTTCTATATTTTCACCTTTTCCAATAGTTGCATTCCAAAGATGTGTTAACAGCTTTGCAATGTGCCTGCAGCACAGGAAGGCAGATATCACAAATCTGTCCTTACTCACTGCATTTCTGAGGCTGGCCACAAATCCCATCTCTCCCTAACTTCCAGGAGAACATTTCCCTTAGAAGCAGTGTAGGTGACAGCATGTTTGTCCTCACACAGACCTGAATCTGGGATCATGGGGTGAGGGCCCCACCTCCAAGTAACCTGTGCTCTCCCTGTCATTGTCTGATAGCTGTGTGGGAAGGAATTCAACCGTATGCACAACCTAATGGGTCACATGCACCTGCACTCCGATAGCAAACCTTTCAAGTGCCTCTACTGCCCCAGCAAGTTCACCCTGAAGGGGAACCTGACACGTCACATGAAGGTCAAGCATGGGGTCATGGAGCGGGGCCTTCATTCTCAAGGTAAGCCAGTCATGGCCAGCAGATAATAAGTGGGAGCTGTACTTGTTGGTAGAGCCTGTACTTGGGGAGTTTATTCTTAATGTTGGAAAAGGGAGCATAATCTTTAAGACCACAGTAGAGTAGCAAGAGCAGGCTTATAACAAATATAATGGTAATATCTGCAGATAGTAAGTCAAAGTGGATTACAGAGCATCAGTTGGAACATCATAATGACACCAGAAAACTATTAGTTCTCGGCTCCAACCTGCAGCAGGTGCCTTGCCTCCTTTAGTCTTTAACAACTCTGGGCAGAGGAACTTCTGTTATCTCTACTTTCCAGATGGAGGAGCAGAGGCTTTAGGTATTAATTTTCCTGAAGTTGCTCAACTGAAAAGTGACAGGATCAGGACTTGAACACAGACCTTCCTGACTCTAAAGTCTGACTCTGAAGCCTTTATTGTATTCACTTCATGCCCTGCTGTCACAGAGTTTTTCTTTCCTTTCTACAAAACAGTCCTGCAAGCTCTGCTGTCAACAGAAGTATGTCTGTAGCAGGCTAGAACTCCTCTACCTGCTTACCATCAGGTACACCAGGGACAATGTTCCTGCTAGCTAGGGCTGACCAGCCCTTGTGCAGAGCGGGGAGTTTTGTCTCCCCTACTGAGTCTGAATTGAGCTGATGAAAAGTTTTCTCCTCCTTTATCTTCCTAGTCCCTTAGTTTGATAACTTTATGTTCCAGGTCTACTGAATTCAGTGAGTTGCTCCTTAATCACCTACTCAGGCAGTGCTTCAGTAAACAGACAATAATGTGCCTCTGTCCAAGCAGTGCACTTTGTGCAGATACCAGGCAGGTACCAGTGGAATGAGACCATCTCTGCCCTCTGCGAAATCTATATGTGGGGAGAGGTGGGCATATATGCAACTTCAAATCATATTCACTGCTGTTTTCTGGTCAACATTATGATCAAAGCATAGACGCTTTAGAGACACTGCTCATCGCCCCTGCAATTCCACAGCGTAGACTGTGCCATTCTCATTTTAGGCAAGAGGAAATGATGGCCAAGAGGTGTTCTATAAACTGCTCAAGTTCAAACAGCAAGTCTGAAGGCAGAACTGGGGTTCCAGCTTAAAAATTTCTGAATCGAGACAGTGTTCATTACACGGTGAAAACATGGGGGATCCATTTGCTGGATCCACCCCTTTACATAGTAGGTAGTCAGTTAGGCACACATGTTCATAAATAAGAAACACACTCATAGCTTGAAACAATGATTGTAGCTTTCAGATTTCTCACCATACCCACTGAGTTCTAAGTGACTCCTAGTGACAGAGAACTGAGCTCATTATAAACTAAGACCTGGAATTTGTACAAAAGTCCTGAAAAGATTCTGGTTAAAAAACAAATATATATATATATTTTATTCCTGACAGTGTTTTCCTCCTCAGTTATTCTTTGCACCTCTAGTTTTCAAGTTAGGCCTGGGTTTTCCAGAAGAGCCACAGTTTGCTCAGTCTCTGGGCTAGGAGCCGTACAAGGCAACAAGGAGACAGTCCTCCTTCTGAAACCTGCTTGCCATGACTTAACCCATACGCGAGCTCACATCCTAAAAGGTACCGCAACACCCCATCATTCTTCTGGAAAAATGAAGAGTCCAGCTATATATCAGAGAATCACTTTGAAAGTTTTTTTTTTTTAACAGACTTTCAACAACTTTAATATTTTCATCTACAAAAGGTGTTAACATTTTTTACTCTAGTTTTTGAAACATGATCCAGTTTTTAAATCCTCTTGTGCACCTGACAAGATTAAAGCTATAGCAACCTTCATTGTCTGACAGTATCATCAAATAGGCAAAGGGGGACATCAGCTTCCTTTGTGTGTCCCCAATACAGGAGCCTGCTTCTCCTGTGATGCAGTGCCTCCTGTATCTCCTCTTCAGTCATCCCCAGTTGCTTCTCCACCCTGTTGACTCACCCACTGAAGAACCTTCCAGATTAAATCAGGTGGAGCTTTAGCCTGTATCTGCCAGCTACTGAAAAGTCCCTCCCTACAGGCCTCAGGCCGAAACTCCTATCATGTCCTTGACAAGAGGACAAAAGGAACACTATCCTCTCTGTGCCTTCCGTGTTCCAGCTGTGCTTAGGGGGCCTGGTGATGAGGTGGCTCCCTTGACTCCGAATGGATCATCTTTTTTGCTTCAAGATGAAACTACCTTTATTATTTTATCATAGTAAAATATTTGCTTACTGTAAAGAAGTAACATAGATACATTAGAAGTAAAAAATGTTAACGTAAACTCACTTAATCATTTTTTAAATTTTGGCATATATCCTTCTAAACATTTTTTGATCAAGAGATTAGATTGGTTTTGTGATCATTCATAGATCTCCATGGTCTACACATGGCTCACTGGGTGGATGTACTATTATTTATATAACCAAACCTTTCATTAAATAGTTTCCACAGTTTCATTATAAAAAATGTGATGACGAGCATCCTTGCACATACGCTTTGTGCACCTGCTTGATGATTTTCATAGTTTAAATTCCTAGAAGGGTAATTGCTAAGTCAGAACTCTGCTTCTTTTAAGGCTTTTGATGCATAATCCCAGATTTGCGCTCCAGGGGTTAATGCCAATTTTTAGAGTCCATCTATGCCAAGGCCCATGTCTATATCCTTAATGAGAACTTATCTATTTTTAAAATGTAAAGTCAAACACTGCTAAATGACCCATTTTCGTGACTTTTCCCTGGCCTTGAACACTGCCTTTGCCTCCACAGGCTTTGGACGAGGGAGAACTGCCCTGGCGCAGGCAGCTGGAGCCCTGCGGAGTCTGGAGCAGGATGAACCCTTCGACCTCTCCCAGAAACGCCAGGGGAAGGGACCCGCCTTCCATTCAGATGGGGAGAGTGCCAGGGGCAGCTCCTGCCATGAGGAGGAGGAGGATGACAACAACTACGAGGTGGAGGAGGAAAGCCCGGGGCTGGCCCCCCAGCGCAAGCAGCTCTATTCACCCCAGGATCTATCCACCCAGCCTGAGCTGGCCGCCAGGGCTCCAGGGGAAGCCAGTGAGGAGGAGAAGGAAGATGAGCCCAAAGAATGCCAGGAGAAGAGCAGGGACGCCGTTGAGGCAGAGGCTGACCAGGAAAGAGGACTTGCCCCAAGAGACGAGTGTCTGGGCCTGCGGGCTTTGCAGAGCAACCGGCGAGACCCTTCCTTCCCTGATTACTTGTATTTCAAGCACAGAGATGAAAGCCTAAAAAAATTACTGGAGAGGAAAATGGAAAAACAAGCAGTACTCTTAGGTATCTAAGTGAACAGTTTTAAAATTACATTTGGAAAATGAGAAGTAGGCAGTTCAAATATAGCTTTCCGCATGAGCTGTCACTGGCTGGAGATGAGTGAATGGTGCAAATCTCTACAAATGGCTTAGAATAAATGATCAGGGACCATCTTCAGAAATGTAAATGCTTCTTGATCATTCACTGGGCCTTTGATTTTTAACACACATGCAGTAGAACAAACTGTACATATTTTTCTACATATCTAATTATATGTTGATGCTGAGGTGCTTATAGAATTCTATTTTTCTTTACTAATACATGGTAAATTTCTTTCTAGTTGCAAAAATACGGTGCTTGACATGTTACTTTATTAATGATTATTTAGTTGAATGTGTAAACATTATTTTTCTAAGTACATGAAAATATTAGAAGTTGTATAGATAAAAATTGCCTTTATAGTAATAGAAATACTAGAAATGATATAGGAGGGAGAGTCATTGAGGAGGACGTTGTCCGAGTAGTTGCTGCCAATGTAAAATAAAATTTCAAGAGACTGAATAATGTCGACTAAGGAAAAATCAGCAATATTTAGATTCTTCCCTAAGTCCACCTTGTTCTGCTTCAGTTGCTGTCATCGTGTGTGGCATTTGGACCTTATTTTTCAAATGGCCTGACTTGCTCAGAGCCTACAAGCTCACCCCTTGAGTGCTCAACAGAATCCCCTTTGGGGCTGTATGTTCCATAAGGCAGCAGTAAGAAGAGTTGTCACCCAGTGAGCAGTACTGGAGCTGGAGCTTAAGGGGGCAATTCTCCCTGAGATCGAGGAGCACTATCAGAACAACCATCAGGTTGTTGAGAATCATTTTGGGAGACTTTAAAATATATAATGTTGGAGGTTCCCCCTCTTGGAGATTCTGATTTCTTTGGTCTGGGAAGGAGCCCCGGGACTGGTATTTTCCAGGTTGCCCCAGGTGATTTGTCTGTGTAGCCAGACTTGAGAAAACTTGACAGAGCTAAAATAGTGACCCCCAGAACTCCCTCCCAGGAACTCCATAATTTTATCTGTTCCTTGCTTCAGACTCATGAACATAGACAACCTTGGAGTCATATTGTAAATCAGACCTTTTTATCTCTTCTGCAGGAGTCTCATGCAGAGACACACTCTTTGTGTAGATACACTCTGTATAGACACACACTTTCTGTGCCAGATGATGCCTGTGATGTTTATGGTCATTTAATAGACATTTTAAAATGCTGGTTATTTCTTCCTAGATGCTTGAATCATGATTCCTGTGAATGATGATGACTATCATGGGTTGAGCCCAGCAGGTAGGCTTTTCCTGGTGCCAAGTAAAGCAATACTGATAGGAATCTGAGTATGTGGGACACCCATAAGCAGTAACCCCCTGGTACTGCATCTATGTTTATGTAAAAACTGCTTCTCGATTGGTAGTTTCGACTCTTAATTGTATAGCTAGGTACTGTTTATTATTTTGCTTCCTCTCCTCCTAAAGTTCTCAGTTAATTTCTTTGAAGACCTGCCTCATCTCTCACAACTGGATGCCAGCTTTTTCTGTGGGCTGGGGTACTTCCCTATAAGCCTCATCTGGTTTGCTCCTTCACCTGTGTGCTTTACCAATCCTGATGCATCATTTCTTCTGCCCATTGACCTAAACCTCCTTCCTAAAGCCCTATCACTAAAGCTGCTTGGGTTTCCTAATGACAGCCATGTCCCAAAGTCAGAGCATTTACAAAGCGAATGGTCAGGGGTATACTGTGGGTTTCCGTAGTTACAAACTAAACTCTGAGCCAAGAACCTATTTCAAGTCGTCAGTGGGACAACTTGCCTTCCATTCACGTTTGAGATAGCTCAGTACCCCAGGTAAAATTGCCTGGGAGACTGGTAGAGTGCTCTATGAGGCTTCAGCTCTTAGGGTTCTGTTACATATTCTTTCTTTCAGCAGTCACTTATTGAAAACCTGCTACACAGATGCAGACTTCCAGTTTGTCCTGGAAATCCTAGCTGGAATAGGAACCAGGGGAACTAGAATAAGCAGAATTTAGTTTTTCCTTACCAAAACAAATAACATAGGAATGTTTGTGGAAACCAGTTAATGTCGAGACGGAGAGAGTAGGGTCTAGAACTGTGGCTTTCAAATTGTGTGTTGAAGAACCAGAGGTCCCTATTAGGCCCTTTCAGAGTCACAAGGGGAGAAGGTAGCAGCACTGAACCCTCCTGCTCACTTCATTTGGAGCAGTTCAAACCTCATTTGTTTTACATGTCAGCAGTCCAAGTAAAATTTCATTTGGAGGGAGGAAAAAAGGTCTAGGAAGAGTAATAAAAAATGAGTTATGGACTGTATCCTAAAGCCTGTGTTAGGTTCTTGATTCTGGGTATGAGAGACTATAGATCTAATTAATATAATTACACTAATCCTCTGAGAACTCAGGCTATGACCTTGGTTTTGTATGTTGAGTGACCAATGTACTGGTTTGTCTGGGACAAGCCTGGCTTATACTTGTTATCCCAGGGTAATTATTGTAGTATCACCTTTACTCTCGAGAGTATTCTAGCTTGGTGATGAAGTATATGATCACCCTGTGCACAAGTGCAGAGCTAAGAAAAGCCTTGACCAGCCATGTCTAATGAGCAAATTAACCAGAACACATGCTTGAAGGAGCGCTCACCAGGGCCATCCTCAGAGGATGAAAGGATAAAACCATTCAAGGTCACAATACTCTACACATTCATCTCATTGAGACACTGAAAATAGGCCGCTACCAAATGCTTTCCCAGCTTTCAACCTCCATCACTTTAAACCAACCAACTGACCAACCAAGTGGCTTATTTTCCTTTTATTCATTTTATCCAGGCCTATTATTGTCCCCTCTTGTTACCTTTCAATTCCTCTTTTATTCTCTCTTTTTAAAAATTTGACTTCCCATTGGCCATGAGACTGAGGCTGACCTTTCATAACCCCACAAGGGTAACTGGTATATTTGTATATGAGTAGTTGCATAAGAAAACCCAATGTGCATACTGTATTTATTAAGCCCTGAAGGCATTTAATAAAATATTAACATTGTGTTTTGAATTATGATCTTTGTCTGCTTTGCTGGAACAAAATGTAACAGAGCTAACATTTAAAATCCTTCACATATTTGGACAACATTACACCAAATGTTGATTTTGTACAGAATTCTGGCTTGCTATTTAAAAACTAAAACTGCAAGTGTGTAGCAATCCAAGTTGTGAATATTGCTTTCTGCTTTGGTGAAAGGCAGTTTACCTGAAAATAGCATGTAACCTATATTTTGTTAATTTAAGCAAATAAAGATATGTTGAAAAATCTGAGTTAATTATTTGCAAATACCTGACATTTTTTAAGGAAGCCGTCATTCTCAACATGTCACTCCTGCCCTCATACCCTCTGCCAGCGTAGTTCCCTTTGGTTAATTTAAGCAAATAAGATATTGGTTGGGACCTCAGCCCCAGGAATGCACAGACATTTGATTCTCCCTCCCACAAGCCTTCAAAACGGATGAGCAGATCCATTACCTCTGCAAAGATGGTGACGTTTTTCCTTGTGGGCTGGTCCTTGGAGATGAAGGACAAAAAATGTCCAGATAGCAGCTGTTGCTTATAATTCAATGGTACTCTTATGCCCCTAGATGAGGATGAGAACTTCTAACCCTGCAAAGATCAGGGTCATGGGAGTGAGAAAGTATAAAATTATTCAGTGTGCCACTGTGACTGGTGACAGTGGGGCCACTCCTGCTTCCTCTCTTGCTCCTAGGATCCAGGCATATTTCCTTTAAAGTACTAGCTCCCATATACCACATGTAATTTTTGATCCAGTTTATATACTAGAGGATGACACCCCATATTTGCTTCTAAGAAGTGCTCTAGAGAACTGGCTACTGCTGGGCAAGGTGTATGTGTTATGACTAGTAGCCAGTAGGTAGATACTGTGGTCATGGACCCATCTCTCTACTTTATTTAGTATAACATGAATCCTATAGTTTGATGTGATATATGGGATTCTGTGCCAGTAGAACAAATTCCTTCTGCCCCTACCCTGCACAATAGTGCTGGCTGAGGTTCTATGAGCAAGAAGGGCAAGCATGTGTCCATAATATGTATATATTCTATGACAAAGAACTGCTGGCTCTTCAAAATGAAAGGATATCCATGCAGTCAACTGCTCATCAAGTGATTGATTGGTTTTCTGGAACAATTTGCCTTATTGGAAGCTCAGCTGGAACTACATCAAACTAAAAATTTTCTGTACAGAAAAACAGACAATAACCAAAATAAAGAGACAACCCACAGATTGGGAGAAAATATTTGTACTCCATACAACCGATAAGGGCCTGATATCAAAGATCTACAAAGAGCTCACATGACTCAACAAAAACAAAGCAAACAACCCAGTCCGAAAATGGGCAGAAGAGCTGTAAAGACACTTCTCCACAGAGGAAATGCAAATGGCCAATGGACATAGAAAAAATTTTCAACATCACTTATAATCAGGGAAATGCAAATCAAAACCATAATGAGATACTACCTCATGCCAGTGAGAATGGTACATATGAAAAAAAAAGTAACAACAAATGCTGGTGAGGGTGTAGAGAAAAAGGAACCATCTTACACAGCTGGTGGGAATGCAAACCATTCTAACCACCATGGAAAACTGTGTAAGGTTTACTTATTAAAATGGATCTGCCAGATGACCCAGTGATTCCACCCTTAAGAATCTACCCAAAGGACACAAAAACATTAATTTGAAAGGAAATGTGCACTCTTATGTTTACTGCAGCATTATTTACAATAGCTAAGATATGGAAACGAGCTAAATACCCCAAAACAGATGACTGGATTGAGAATATGTGATATATATACACACAATGGAATACTACTCAGCAATCAAAAAAGATAAACTCATGCCATTTTCAGCATCATGGATGGAGCTAGAAGGGATTATGTTCGGTGAAATAAATCAGAAGGAAAAAGAAAAACATCAGATGGTTTCACTTATAGGAGGAATATAGGAAAACCTAACAAAGGGTCAAAAAAAGAGACAAAACTTGCAGGCAAACTACAGATCTGAGGCATACAGCAGGGGAGGGGGAGGATGAGGGATCAAAACAGAGGACGGAGGAGCACAAGGCACTACGCAGATGGTCCAAGGTTGTTGTGGTGGTGGGAGATTTATGGGGACTACATCTGAGGGGAGAAATCAAATAGTGTACAAAATTGAATAACAACGTAAGAAAATAAAAAAGCTTAATCAATAGAAGAAAAAATAGAAGCTGAGCAAGCTTGGTTGCTGGCTTGTTGGATATTCAGCAGTGGTAGTTAGAGCAACCTTGGTGACTGCAGTTCATGCTGCTGGGCCCATGTGTCGCCCATCTCTCTGCCACTGTGGCCATTTTATTCACATGTCCTTTGTTCCAGTACTGAAATGACTGTTGGCAGAGGACTGGAGTCAAATGGCAAGGTCATTCTGTCTGCCTGATTATTTAATGTCACATTCATGATGGATGCGACCCGATGACTGTTAACATATGCTACAAAAATATTCACACTTTGTATTCATTCCCATGTGTATATCCACATACTGTTTTCCCTAGACAAAGAGTAATGGCAAGGACCTGCTTTCATTAGCATGATCAGGAATTGCCTCTCTGAAAAAACAACATTCAGTTGAGCACTGACAGATAGCAGGCGCCATGGGGAAGAGTATTCCAGCCAGAGCAGACAGCATGAGCAAAGGTTGGAGGTATAAGGGAACATGTTCAAGGAGAGGCAAGAGGGAATCAAAACACAGCAGGGGAAGGAAAGCAGGGCAAGATGTGGCAGAAATGGAAAGTCACATGAAATAACGAAGTTTACGTTTTGGAAAACGTCCTGGCTGTGGTGTGGAAGATGGGTTGGAAGGAAGCCAGGATGATTCCAGGAGACCATCCAGAGCCACTTTTAATAATGTATCAGAGACAACATTGGTCAGGATTAAGGAGGTAGCAGAACAGACTCTAGAAAGACATGGTTTAAAATTTTGTTTGGGGGGGAAAGCTAATCCCTTGTTCTACCGAAGGACAACTTTAATAATAAGATAAATACATATTTTGCTAAGTATAAAATAAAATGCCATTTGCTCTAAAGTCCATCTCCTCATAATGACAGAAGGGATGAATTGGCTTTTTATAACTATCATAAACTCAAGCTCTTTCCCCATTGACAGGAGAGCAGATTTTCCAAGTAATATATATAGAATTAAGTCCATCTGGTTTCTCTCAGTTTTGTTCTGGTTTACACTGGCGAAGAAGTAAATCATCAAGACTGAGGAAGAGAATGAAGCTTCTCAGACATAGATCCTGGGAAGGAATAGCAGAAGTGAGGTCAAATGAGCTGAGAGAATATCCGAAAGCCGGTGGGAAAGGTTACAACCCCAAGACCATGAGGTGAAACTGCAAAACGTCCTTTCATCTCCCTAGGCTCTGAGGACATCTCTGACCCAGCCGCTAAAATAATACACAAGTTCATGATAATGAACATGCATGGTCAAGAAACATTTAATCATTTCCACCATACTTACTAACTAAATGCACTCCTTACACACCCATTTTAAGTCATTCAGTTCCCAAAGGGTGATAGTCCAGTTATGGGGAAGATTTTATACAGTGCACACATTATTTTGCAACAATGCAGAATAAAGGAGATATCATGTGACAAGTCCCAGTATGAAGTGACTCACTGCATCACAGACATCACCCTATGAAGGAATAAAAACCAGACACATGTGGAGGGAGTTTGTCCTGCCTTCAAGGAACACACCGTTCTTAGCAGGCCTGTGGAGACTGACAGCAACATGACTAGTGGTTTTTCAAATCTTTCTCCAAATCTCCAAAGACTTAAAGCTGAAAACTGTCTTCTTTGTGAAAACCCAGGTGTGAACCCGGCCTGGTTCTCTACAGGCATTTAATTTTTTTTTTTTTTTTTTTTTTTTGCACAGCTGAGCTGAGCCAAGAGTAACTTCCAACCCCATTACAAACTTGCTCTGTAAGAGGAGGAAGACATGCTCATTTGATAGCTGGGGAGTGACCCTTATAGGGTCCCTGGGGACCCAGTATCAGTGGTGCTCACTGTTTCCTCTTCCCTGGATGCAACAATATATTAAGAGAGAGGAAAAAAAGAGAGGAGGTTGGCTCTTTTCATGATTTTCCTTTTTAATTTTTGTTGAAAATGAACTGTGTTCTCTTGATCCTTCAAACAAATGGAGGGGAAGTGGAAGCCCAAAAGTTTCTCTTAGGTTCCCCAGAGAGGGTGGCTGTGTTTGTAGTGCGATGTGGGAAAAGTCCTTGTGTATCTGTTGCATTGTCACGTCGTACCAGGGTGATTTGCAGTGGGAAGTGTGGGATGAATACTATTTCTATATAAGAGAAAGTGATGGAGCCACAGTCTTTGAATCAAAGATCTCAGTTTGCCCTTCATCTCTAAGACGTGCTTCCCCTGACCTCCGCACCCCCATCTTTATTAGATGATGAAAGAAACGCAAGTACACTCTCTGAACTTGACCCAAACAATAAGTCCAGCCAGAATTCCTTGCTATTCAGAATGCACTTGGGTAGGGAGGGGGAGAGGGTGAGGGTGCATGGAAGGACTTGCCTGAGATCACAGAACAATGTGAAGGACAGGCTCTGCAAGTTTTTGGCATCATGCCTGAAGAATCATTCTAACCTGGCATTTAAAATATGCATTGCAAGTCTTTTCACAGGGCCGATCTTAATAAACAGATGGTCTTTGGGGGGAAAAAATGGATAGATACATTAAGAGACATCCAAAAGGATTATGAAGAACTTCTTTCAGTTTAGCAATTCATCATTTTAAGCTCACTGGCAAACAATTTGTCTCTTCTCGAAAGTAGAAATAATGAAATTGATCTCCAACCTGTCTTAGATGAGGGGGTGGATGAGGTAAAATCTATTCATCATTCTGGACTTGAAGAGATGATAGTTGTGTCATTTGCCAGTGCTGAAGGACAGCTTCCCTTCCAACCTGTAGTAAGTACAGTGAAGAAAACAGTTTTACTTGGCATGCAGGATATCTAAGTTAGAATAACATGTAAAATCCTCCGGTTGTGGTTTTGCAAGATTGCATATATACAGCATCGAGTCAATTGCTTCTCACTCCTTGAAAACCAGTTGACAATAAAAGAGAAAATCCCCTGCAATAGCCAAGTCTTTACAGGAAGAAAAGAATATCAAAGTAAGGTTATGCAGAAACTTAGAAATGGATAGTTACCATGTCAGCCTCTTAGGGGACATTCAATAAACATTCATCCAGTAT